ATTATATATTAACTATCTTTACTGGTATCACATGACTAAACAACATAAAGAGATTTATTGAAGCATAGCATATCCACTACTGCTGAATTTTCAGATAAACTAATAATTGTACTGCAGATGTGTAAATTGTCTACTGAAATTTTGTATTTTCGACTATTTCAGAGAATCTTGTAAAGCTCCATCACTCAAAAAGTTCGGAAGACTCACGACGTTTTAATTTATATAACATTTTCTTGGTTTCTGTAATACAAACACATTGTAATCCTCCAAATGATACTTTTCCCCCTCAGTTTATTTTACCTAAATAAAGATGTCTTGAGGGATCTCAGGAGTATTGTTTGTGTGTGATCAAAGATGATTGTACTATCACTATTGTGTTCAGAATGGGGTAATATGGTTCACTCCAAGACCCATTTATTCGCTTTTAAGTACTCTTTTGTGAATCAGTTTTCACGGAGTTATCGTATTTATTTGAACACTTATACGTAGATACAATAGGGCGCCAAATACATATGCGCCACACAATAACAATGAGGTTGTGAAGATATAGAGAATATAGAATGCGTATAATAAAGAACAACAACCAACAAGAATTAGTGTATGCGAGTGAAATAATAATAATAATAATGGGAGGAACAGTTCAATTAGCAAAAATTTAACCAGAAAGAATCCTTTCAATTAGAGTTACGTTCATTTCTTATGTAGTAAAAGAAAGTTACAACACGATTGCCACTGGATTCTATTCTGAGTCATCTCTAGGACCAGCCTTGTTCAACTTTCTATTATACCATGACACCATGCCATACACTGACCACCTCTTCGCTTCTTCCAACCGGTCCTAGCGTTGGCAAATAATGCATGACGTGGAATTCTCTGGGACGACTTTCGTAGGACATATCTGAACACGCGATGACGTACCTCCGCCTCGTTAGGTGGGTCAGTTGTCACAAGCCATGGAGGGCAGAATAGTCTGATCAATGTCGCTTGGGCAGCAGTCAGTCAGTTGTAACGTAGGACCAGGCACGTATATGCATCGGTCCAAGTTGCCATACCTCATTAGCACAACAAAATGAACACCGGATTCATAGAAGTAGTTAATTTAGTGGTGGTAATATACAGAAGAAAGATTGCATACAAGGAGATAGTACAGGAAGATAGAATCAGTTCCTAGAAAGAAAGATATGAAGCGATTTTAATCTCTTAATTTAAAGGAAGACAGAGAGTGTATACACCTACGCCATTGTGATCGATTCCGAGCCATGTCACCAAGAGTCTCTAACCATTGGTTACGATAGTCACGCGGGCCCGCACCAGGTAGACCGTATCTACCAACATGGCTCGGACTAGAATTTAGTGACCTTATGGACTGATGCCACGTTTTGGTTTGGCCACCCGTAACATCCTTCCAACCATCCCCAACACCAATTAGCATTGTGCGTCGTGGTAATCGGTGTTCAGGCATACGTAACACGTGGCCCAACCATCTCATTCGATGAAGATTCATAACCTCATCAACTGACTTACCATCATTCCCTAGTACCCTGCGTCTAACCTCACTATTAATTACCTGGTGATCCCTGCAATATTTCTAAGGCACCTGTGGTCAAATACTAGTAACTTACGAGTATCTTCTACTCTTAAAGGCCATGTTTCGCAGCCGTATAGTAAAACAGAACGAACTGCCGCGCAGTATACTCGTCCCTTAACTGTTAGACGGATATCTCGCCTTCGCCATAGATGACGTAAGTTGGCAAAAGCCAAACGAACTTGGGCAGCAGAGCATTTGAACTGCCCACCGTCCAAGACGTCTGTAAATATCTGTGACTGGCATTCGTCAGCTTCGTAGATTGTTTCACTCTTACCAGACTTCTTGCTTCCAGTGAGTAGGGTGGGTTGAAAGAGCTTCCGACGGTTTCCGACTCGCTAGCACACTCCGGCCACCAGACTTCTCGGTCCTTACGCAAGCTTTGCACAATCTCATTACGTAACGGTCTTCGTTTATGATCAGACTCGCTGTCACATGGAGTGGTTCGACGGGCTTCAATGAGTTGTAAGGAGCCTGAAGAAACCTAGTGCTAATAAGCGGGATGTTTCGCGAAGCCACAAGCGATTTTACTCGCCATTTTCATGGAGTCATGTAATGAAGACCAATGCTTATCTATACTTTTTGGTGGGATGGTAACTAGCCTCAAACCTAGCTCGGTTTGATATTCATTTGCAACAGAAGCTGTAACCAATTCGCCGACATCGATCCATTTAGGACGAATTTGTTGGCCACTGAAACATGAGGTAAGATTAGTGCAAACAAGTAGATAATTAGAGTGCAAATAGGTACTCCAAAAGGAGCGTCAGTTTTGTGTACAATCACGCCAGCGGTAGTTGATCGCGATGCGATCAGTACTACAATCTGTCGGACGCAATTTCTGTAGAACACTTAACTGATGGTGTAACTCATACTTTGTCGCATCCGAGATGCAATCTGTCGGGGTGTAAGCGGAAATGACAAAAAGACATCGCTTCTCACACCGATTTCCTCTCACTTTGATAGAACTTTCTAATCTAACAGCACATAACCGACTGTTAATGGGGATCCAATCGATCAGTGCTGCCTCACTTCTGGTGCTTAGTGCGACACGAACGACAGCGAAACCACATGTAGATGCTACAGGGTCCCCGGACAAACGCATGTGAGACAAGCCTTTCGAAGTGAAAGATAGAGCGGATTCGCAGTGCTTCACTAGTCTTGGATAGACAACAAACGTCGATATTAAGACTTTCTAAAGACAGCCAATCATACATGTTTAGTTCGCATTAGTGTGTGAACGTTGAAGGAGGCCAGTTTGATTGGCATACGTGGTTTCACAAAAACTGGTTCAGTATTTCTAGTCGCTGGTGGCATTCAACTCTCGACCACTTAGTGACTTGGGATCGTTTGTGTAGGACAAGTTTTCCACCGTGGGCGAACTACTCGATAATTTTAAAAATAAAATACGCGAAATGAGAGTAAAGGGGAATACACAAGTGACGAGTATTATCATATTATTGTGAATAAACGTTGTAGCAGGAGCGATTTTTTCCGGTAGTAATCATTGATTTGTGCGAGGACTGTAATACTGTTCGAGTGCCCAGAGCAGGTGATTTTCTTAGGGATTAACACTCGGAGCCTTTGGCCTACAGATCTGATCCACAGGGCAGCGAGGCAACGTCAGGAGATGCAGTCCCATGGAAGCCGGGGACCAGCAATTGGTTCATACGCCAATTGTTCCCTAAGGATCTTGGAGCGTATGTGCGCCACCGGTTTGAAATTAGGGTTTTCCATCTACCTTAGGTGGACTCACCGTGTCTACTAACCCAGTTAAAGCGCCGAATATTCGCTATCGTGTAGGAGACTCGTGCTGCTTTAGATGATATGAGGGAATCCTACATGTTATAATATAATCACTAATATCTATTTTTTGACAGTTCTTAATTATATTTTACAAAGAAAACCTAGTGAAGTTTCATGTAATTTTTGTATATAAAATTGATCGTGGGGTGTACACTTATCGTAACATTCACTAGAATTGTAAGGAGTTTAGGTTCTCCGTATTACGAAAACAATGATCCTGACATTTTACAGTACTAAAAGACAAAATGTTGAGAAAACTATCACAAAACCTAATTTATTTAGTGTCCAGTGATACCGTTTGCTCTAAAAATGATTTCGCATGTCTTTTTATACTGTACCCGATGTAAATAATGATGCAATTAATAACCTCTAGTGAAAATGCTATTACAATGAATCACAAAGGCCCACTCTATTAACTGAGATGTTTTGAAGCCGTTCCCAGTACATCTATTTTGATGGCTAGTATAGAGGGAATTATCGAATTTATCGTTCTCAAAATGTAGATCCTAAGCTGTGAATTAGTTCTACGCAAATCCATCACGTTGTTGTGAAATAAACCACGTAGGTCTCAAGTAATGACGCCACAAGTCTTTTGTGATTATTATATAGTTTTTACACATTGGTTCTAGTAACCGCTTATGAAACTGTAGGTTATTAATCTTGTTCATGATTTTTTTGAAATTCAGAGAAAATTACAGACCAGCGAACGAAAAAACACTTGATATCAGTCGGCATTGGATCTTCAGTTGGTTTTTTGTAACTAGCTTTCTCACAACTACTAGTCATGTCCTGTTTTGGTTCTTGTTATAACAAACAAACACGCTAGGATGCTCGGGATCCGTTTTCCTCCACCTTAATGCAAGATATTGCTTCAGGACTGATCTGCGTCAACGCCTGAATTAATAATGTAGTGTATTTGAGTTTAGTGATCACTCCACTTATCTTGGAAGACTCATCAGCTCTGGGGGGTGATGTCTGACAAAGTCTCGGAACAAATCCAGTAAACTCGGTTGTCGCTTACTATCTTGTAGTGTAGGTGGCATATTCCTCTGCCGAATAAAGGACGAGATTACAGTGTAGAAGTTCACTCCATTCTATCATGTGGGTGTGAAATATGGCCTTTAAGAATAAAGGGTATCCATAGACTATTAGTATCCGATCACAGGTGTTGCGAGCCATTTCTCGTACATTTTGATAATAGGTTAGAAGCTAGCAGACTTCAGTATATGAAGACCGATTGTTGAACTGAGCCGTGTAGGTAGATGTAGACTAACTAGTTGAAGTCCGTGTGATTATCGTAACTGAATGTTAGGTCATTTGAATGACACGACTCAGAACCGTTCACAGAAACCTGAATACATTCACTATCTTTGCTTAGATCCTAAATTTTCTATAAGTATTATTCTTTTCGTCCCGATAATTTATATCTTCTTGAATCTTACTACCACTAGTACTGTTGCTACTGCGGGACTTGTCCTGATAATTCCATTCCACTGTGTCAATGGAGTATGGAAACTTGGACCGATTTACGCTTGTGCCAGATTCCACGCTGCGTTTAACTGAATGGAACAATAGAAAAAAGCAGGTTTATATCAGAGAAAAGTCACACTTTCTAAGCATAGGTTTAATTGAAGTTATTCAGAATGGTGTAATTTTACAGTTTGATGTTGCTTTTTTCGAGAAAAGAGACTTTGTACATGAAGATAACTGGTAGGTTGATCTCATAAAAAAGGTTTTATCTGAAGAAATTTAATGTTCAAGTTGCTAAATGCACGTAGCAGAGGGAGGTACTATTTACCACTTTTGTCTAGTGATCGATAAGAAATCCCCTTGCTTCGTAAATAGTGCACTATGTCACTAGGAAGAGATCCGTAGACACTGATTGCATAAACACCCGGCGTAAGTTTATCAATCATCTGCCATCTTGCAACCCAACTGTCGTTTGGTGACATCATAGCAAGTAAGCCATCAAAGTTAGCAGAAGAACATTCGTATACCTTTTCTCGGTCTCCTTGCATCTTTAGAAAGTCCTCACAGTTTTCGCATCCGTTTAGCTGAAATTGGTTAAGAGTTTTCACTAGACCACATAATAAGCATGCTCTTAGTTGACGTAGTTCTGATGGGATAACGGAATTAACAGCCATTAAAAGGGAAGCCACTTGAAAAGTCCACTGAGGTTCATCTGTTATAGGAACCAAAACAAGACATCAAAATAAAATCTTGTTGTGAGGCGTATGTAGTAAGAAAAAACAATGGATTATCGGAGACTTACCCTAATGAGCACGGGAGAGTACTGGAAGTTGTAAGAGTAAGCGCCTGAATACACTAAACTGGCGCTTACCAACGAGTTAAGTGGTTTGTTTCAGGGAGCGTAACCTTTTCTAGGATCGTACAAGATTAGATGATTAAAAGTAAAACATCGTGAATAATTTGCAGAAAACAGTCGAAAATGGTTCAGACAATGACTTTCAGTCACGCCTGAAAACCGGTTACCTCTTATGATCTAGGCACAGGTTAGAAATATGGCAACTTGTGGGACTAGTGAGATCAGTCACCCATTTCATTATCTGTCGAGTTTCACATATAATGAGACTGAACAACGGAAGTTAGATATATCTGACTCAAAAATGAACTTGCGATTGAATGGATATCCACACGACGTCGTGTGGGACCTAATTATGGTTCGAATGGTTGTGGACGGAATACAAGAAGCTTTCGCATAACAAGCTTCCGTGTCTAGTAGCAGGGGATCACCAATACCTCCAGGCAAGAACCTAGGATTATTACCGATAAAAGAGAGAAAAAAAGAAATTGGCAAATCATAGTAAGATACTATCCTTAGTCCTTAAGAATAAATCAAGTCGCCTCTTAAAGGACTACTGGGAAGTTGCTTGGACTAGCTCAGCTGGCAGCGAATTTCAGCATTTGACAACTCTTAAGGAGTAGAAGTTGTGTCTGCAGTCCGTTCTACTATGTTGTCTTCTGAAGTCAAGGGTATTTGTTGTGAGCTGTGAGGATGAATTTTTATACCAATTCCAGAAATGTTTAAGTCGTAGATTAAACCAACAAACGCCCGTACTACAAAACCGAATCACTAACAAATATGCTGAAGACACCACACCTAGTAACTCAGTAATTGAAATAGCCGCTCAGTTTCAGTTTGGAAAGGACAGGAGGCTTGATGGCCTGTGTTAGTCCTGGCAGCTGTGTTCTCTCAGTTGATCCAACTTTCTTTTGAAAAAATTTACGTATGCAGCTTCAACCACGTGTTGAGGTAATGAATTCCACTCGATGATTCGGTGGGGAAGTCGATAATCAGCTGACAAGTAATTTGTTCTGGGCTTGTGAACTTTTTTGGAGTGTCCTCGTAAATTCTCTGTTTTGGAAGACAGGAAAAAGGAGGGCATATCAGGTGCAAACTTATCACTAAGCAATTTGAAAACTGTAGTCAAGTCGCCTCTAGTTCTACGATATGGCAAAGGGAATATGTTTAGCTTGGCCAGTCGAGCATCATACGGAAGCTTCGCTATTACGGGAATCAGCTTAGTTGCTGTTCTCTGGACCTTTTCCAAAAGATCACTGTCTTTTTTTAACCAGGGGCTAGCCGCTTGTATGCAGTACTCAAGTTTAGGACGTACGAACACTGTATACAAAGTCCAAAACGTTTGAGCGTCGACATGAGTAAAAGCCCTACGTATTGACCATAAAGTTCTAAAAGTTTTGGCGGCTATTGCACGGCAGTGTGCAATAGTCTTTAGATCTTGGTTAACGATGACTCCTAAATCATTATGTGTCTGGACAACAGGTAGCTCAGTGTTATTCATCGTGTACGTATCTGTACCTTGATGACTGATATGTATCACAACACACTTGGAAGTATTTATCGGCAGCTGCCATGTATGAGACCATTCGGATAATATCTTCAGGTCATTTTGGAGTTTTAAGCTATCACCCTTACATCGTATTGTTCTCCATATCTTGACATCGTCAGCATATAACAAGACCGATGATGATAATATGCGAGGAAGGTCATTTACATACAAGAGAAATAGCACTGGCCCCAAAACTGTACCCTGGGGCACTCCACTAAGCACAGTTTCCCAGCTAGATAACTTTGAGTTTACCCGTACTCTTTGTTGGCACCCAACTAAGAAGTATTCTATCCACATCAATAGATTGCCCCCAATTCCGTCATTTCTTAGCTTTGCTGAAATCAATGTAAGCCACGTCTGCAGGTAACCTTTGGTCCTTAAAAGCGAACCAGCTTTCTCGAGTGACTAATAAGTTAGTGAGACAAGAATAACCTATTCTGAAACCGTGCTGTTTCCCCGAGAGGATTCGGTTTACATCGAGGTATTTAAACAGCTCTTTCCGAATAATCTTTTCTAAGATTTTAACAACCACACTAGTTAGGCTAACGGGTCGGTAATTCTCAGGTTTATGTTTCGTACCTGTTTTGAAGACAGGACTTACTATGGCGTTTTTCCAGTCTTTTGGTAAACGACCCTGCGTAACTGATAGCTTAAAGCATATACTTAAAGGGTTCGCAACGAAGTTAGATAATTCTTTTAGTAGCCTAGGATGCAATTCATCGGGCCCCATGGATTTACCTATGTCAAGCTTATTTAGCAGATCAAAGACATCGAGTTCACTTAAGGTCACGCTATCCAGTGTGTGTGTGTGGGGGGGGGGTTTGTATGCGCTGACGGGAAGGGTGCTTCTATGGTATATACATTGCTAAAGTAATTTGAGAACACTTGAGCCTTACCAAAGTCATCTTCCACTAATGATGCGGCAGCACTGTCTCCCCATAGTGCAGGAATAATTCCTCTTCCATTTGTCCTTTGGTTTATATAGGAATACAGGCGTTTAGGACATTCTATGGATTCCTTAACAAGTTTTTCTTCGTACAGCTTTCTAGACTTGCGGAGGGTCGAGGCACAGGTATTCCTAGCCTTTCGGTACTGAGATTTTGTCTCATCAGTCCCCAGTAACCTAAATCTATCCCACATTTTTCTTCTCTTACGGAGAAGGATGCGGACCTCGGGACTAGTGTATCGCTACAGTTTCGGTTTGGAAAGGACAGGAGGCTTGGTGGACTTTGTTAGTCCTGGCAATTATGGTCTCTAGCTTGATCCAACTTTATTTTGATATAGTGGACGGATGGAGCCGAGGTGATGAATTCCACTCGTTGATGATCCGATAGGAGAGTCGATAGTCAGCTGATAACTAATTTGTTCCGGGCTTGTGGACTTCTTTGGAGTGTCCCAGTAAATTTTTTTGAGGAACAAGAAAAATGAGGGCAAATCAGGTGCGAATGTATCATTAACCGAATGAAAACTGTAATCAAGTCACCTTGAGTTCTTCCATATTGCAACGGGAATAGGTTTAGCAAGGGCTAGCCGCTTGTATGCAGTACTAAAGTTTAGGACTCACGAACAATGACTCCTAAGTCATTGTGTGTCAAAATAACAGGCAGCTCAATATTGTTCATCGTGTATGCATTTGTCCCTTGTTGACTAATATGCATCACGATACACTTGGAATTATCCATTGGCGACCTCCAGGTTTGAGACCATTCAGATAATTTCTCGAGGTCATTTTGGGGTGCTAAGCTATCATCCTTACTTCGTTTCACTCTCCATGTCTTGAGTCGTCAGCTTATGGCAAAACCGATGATGATAGGAGGGGAGGAAGGTCGTTTACATACGAAAAGAACGGCCTCCAAAATGTACCATGGGGCACTCTACTAATCGCAATTTCCCAGCTAGACAGCTTGGAGTTCACCAGTACTCTATGTTGGCTCCCAACTAGGAAGTCTTTTATCCACATGAATAGATTGCCTCCAACCCCGGCATTTAACTTATATAACTGGGACTTTGTCAAAAGCTCTGCTGAGGTCAATGTGGGCTACGTCTTTAAACAACTTTCGGTTTTAAGAGCGCACCAGTTTTCATGAACCACTAATAAGGAAGTGAGACAGGAATAACCTATTCTAGAGCCATGCTGATTTTCCGAAAGGATCCGGTTTTCTTGGAGATACGTAAACAGCTCTTTTCGAATAATCTTTTCTACAATTTTAGCAACCACACTAGTTAGGACAACGAGTCTGTAATTCTCATGTTTATGTTCCGTGCTTGTTTTGAAGATAGGACTTAATATGGCGTTCTTCCAGTCTTTTGGTAAACGACCCTGGGTTACGGATAGACTAAAGCATATACTTAAGGGGTTAGCAACGAAATTAGCTAAATCCTTTAGTGACCTAGGGTGCAGTTTATCGGGTCCCGTGGATCTGTCTATGTGAAGCTTACCAAACAGACCAAAGTCATTGAGTTCCTTAATGGTCACCCTGTTCAGTGTGTGTGGGGGATTTGTATGAACGGATGGGAAGGGCGTTTCTGTGATGTGCACATGTCTAAAGTAGTTTGAGAATACTTGAGGTTTACCAAAGTCTGACCTGTCACTGTGAATAGTCTTCGATTTCTCGACTACTTTTTAGATGGTAGGATTTCCTTTTATATCGTTATATCGTTTCCCGCTTACGACCTTTAGCAACCATAGTCTCGTCAAGCTAACTATGGGATTCCGGAGGGTTATCGACGAATTGAGAAGTCAGGCTGTGTTTCCTGCTGAAAACAGATCAAGCCTTGCGATTGCGATACTCAGGCGTTCCCTGCCGGATACCATTTAGAGGACGGGGGGCAGAAGAAACCTCCTCTCTTGAGTTTTTATTTAGGACAGACTTCTCTGAAGATGGTATTTCCCGATTTGAGTTAGTTGTTTCCGATGTCACTTATGATGGCTTCATGAAAATTGCGTGTCAAAAGAGCGAGTGATCTCCGATGTGTTCTTACCTCGCTTGCTAAAACACACCTGTATTTTGTTCACAGATGTTTCAGATCATGATTTGTGCAGTAAGGACAGAAGTCCTACGGCCTATGTTGAACTTTTCTTAGTATGTTTTAATAAGTGTCCAGTCTTCACTTTAATGAGTCAATTGAAGATGAGAACATCACTACTTTGAGAACGTGTCTCAAGGTACGATGACAAGTATTCACATGAAACTAGACTGTGCCATTATGATATTTAAACCCAACCACCACATTGAGGTGGGGACTACGATCGGGATCTACTAGAGATTGTTTTCTGAGACAAATTTCTAGATCCATCAAGGGACGAAGAGTAGCAGTAGTTAAAGAATGACCACAGCCGACTAACCAGTAAGCAAAATGGCAAACATTTGATTGAAAATAAGGTACTTTTGCAGAAACCATAGTTTTTATGGCAAATCATATAAATCAGCATATGTTTTGATTTCCTTTTGGATGGCAAAACACTTTCCTTGAAATCATAAATGTAGACACTAAGTTAAGGAAAAATAGATTGTGAGTTTAAAGTAAATGCTCAGTTTCTCATTGGATAAAAAATTGTAGTTATTTGATCGCTCAAAAAGATCACTGGGGTTTAAATTCCTGTACAACGCTGCTAGGTGTATCTACATGTGATTTGAATGTTATTCCGACGATAACTTTTGTTTTGTACTGTTGCGAGTGAACACTTGAAACGAAACTCCCGGAGAAATTTCAGTATGTCCGGATGTAGCTATTTCCAACGTACTGATAGACATCAAAACATGAGAAACCCTGTTATCACTTTCTAATATAAACTGCTGAGTCAGTTTAGTAGGAATCGTAGTACACAACCGAAATTCCCTCGTTCTCTGTAGTAGTCATTCAGAAAAAACTCCAATTGAATACCTATTGTTTCATTAGCATCATCATTAAATGTTTCCGACATAAATTTCAAAGGTTGATAACATAACACACCGCAACAGAAGCAATGCTATACACAATGATAATTAGACCACTACAGGTAACACAGGAACTAGATTACTCTTGTAAGCCGTCCTCTCTATGTCCTACGATGTTCAGTGAAATAAGATGACATACCCGACGTTTGGAAGTAGCAATAAGTAAAGTTTTTGATCAAAAAGCTTTACTACTTGAATAGCATAGGAAAACCTGTAGGCCACTAGTCAACTTGACACGACTTCGGCTACATAAGCTTAAACTTTGGTGATCCGAATCTATTGAACTATGATACAACATAATGTAGTGCTCTCTGACATGATCATTTCAAGGTCTACTGACTTATAATTACTCCAATAAACA